CCCCCCCCCCCCCCCCCCTAAAACTCCTTCGTTAACAGTCTCCATCAAAATGTCTAGTTGGGTAAAATTTAAATTTTCACAACAGTTTATGATCATTTGTCTGGCCCCTGCTTGTTTTAAAAAAAACCTAATGCTATAAAAGTAAACAAATTAGTAATCACAATTTACTGTAGGAAAAATGTCAAAAACGTACTTTACCATTATTTTGACCTTGTTGCCTATATTTTTTCCCATCAATTTTTATTGTTAAATAATAGTAACTATAGTAACTAGGAAAGAGAAGAAAAACTTACTGCGTCCGCCATATGCCTGAATCTCGTCGACCATATATAATATATACCAGAGATAGAAACCCGAACCAGCTGTGAATAGAAATAAATTAAATTGAATAAGCACTCAATACTTATAAACATAATGTTAATTCTACTCAAAAGATAATCATGGTAACATCCGGTTAGTGTTTAGTAGTTTCTTCGACATATTACATATTCATTCACCAATCGTATATAAAATTGAATGTTTTAAATTTAATCTTACCCGCTATTCAATTTTTTTACTAATAGATCTGTTAACGCAGCAATAATGCAATATTTTATCTACTATGAGCACAAAGTCTTACGGCTTTGCTTTTGGAACATGTGGGGTCTCACACTCACATAATCGTAGTCTTCGAACAAAAAAAATCAATGTATTAGGAACTTAAAATTGGAGACACATTTTAGAGTTAAGGGCCAAGAATATGCTAATTCACAGTTCAATCTCTTCATACCGACAATAAACTTTACTAATTAGCGCGATAAAATACTAAAAGAGATCGTAATGAAAAGGAAAATACCAGAAGAAAAAACCATCCCCCACGCAGTGGCTGGCAGCATCAAGAATCTTATGCTAAGGGTGGGGGTATTGATGAAAGGGCAGCAACTTTATGACTGCTCCTGCGATTGTGCTACAACCGACAACCGAATAAAAGCAATTGAAGGCCTCACTCGTTGTGTGGCAAAAAATGTCAATGTCGTTCTTGCACCAGCAAATGAGATCGCAATTGATTATGCGATATCGATGTGATATTTTGTTTGAGAATCCGTCCTCGAGCGTAGCTGGAAGAACGCGATGGCTGGCGACTGCCGACCACTCTGTTAGAAACAAAACTACCCTAATTCGTCGCTATGCAATCTATTTGTTCACCAAGTATGAGGCAAAATTGGAAATCGTCTCAGTTTGCTAAACTAATTAATCTGACGAATTACTACCAGAAAGCCAAATATCAAAGAATTAATGTTCAAAACAACAATAGAGATTCCAGCAGCCCTAAGAGAAACAAAGATTTAGTAACCTAACAAGTACTTTTGGTGAAGATAAGCGACCAAAGCGCTCTGAGAACTGGTTGTACCAAACAATGGCAATCTGTACGGACAAGATAAACTTGTGGAAGTAAGAGTAGAGCTCGTACCTCCGGATTCAAGAACTCATATGGCGAAGCGAAGTCGACGCAGATTGCGAAAAGTGCTTCATCTTCAACGCGCTCACTGTCGGTGCATTTGAAATTGAACTTCCCGTCCTGCGATTAGTGGGGATTGAACAAAACTCCACCGATCTCTCTCTCTCTTTCTATGACGGCACGATTTGAGAACGATCGAACGGGTGAAATTGAAAATCGATGTGATCGTGGGAAATGAGTGAATCGGAGATCAGAAACCATGGACCGTCTGATGTGAATCGGCTTTAGGTTTTGTCCATCAAGCGGTGATTTGGGGTACCATTTTGGCGCGCATAGGGTCGGACAAGTATTGGCGGTTTGGCGCCAGCGAGACGTGGGGATCTCTGATTTCCCAACTTATCTTTTCCTTTTCCCCCTAAATATATCAAAAATAAATAAATAAATAAATAATTTAGCAAACAAATCGTCGCTATATTTTTTATTTATTTATTACTTTTTTGTGGTTAAAAAAAAAAAAGGTGGAGATGTCTTTTAATTAAAAAAAATAATTAATAAAAAGACTTATTTTAGCGGATCAAAATTAATAAAATAAAATAAACCAAACAAAATCTCATATTTGATGAAAAATCATAGAACAATTAATTTTTATATACGAAATGTAAGTTTCTCATGTTTATTATATTTATGAAAATTTTATTTTGCATATAATGGATCATCTACCTATTCACTATTTTAAAAAAATTACGAATTTGTTCCCCACAAAATTTATTTAAATTTTAATAGAAATAAAAAATAAATTTATATTTAGTAGATTAATTAATTTATTAGTTCTTGAATATATAATAACCATATTAACTACCTAATTTAACATAGGGCTTACTTATGGGTGATAATACCGATTAATTGGTATTAGAGTATTAGAAAATTAATTCATAATTAACAAATTATAAAATAAATAAATGAATACTGAAACTTCTAATGTCAAATTACTGAAAAGGGAGTGTTCCTGCCAAAGATGGTTTTAAGCTTAACCAAGACAACCTAACTTTTCTCCCAAACGGCATTATATAACCCACCCCGTTTTGGTGCATGCATGATACCTGCCAAAACTGGCCTTCAATTGACACCCTGATGTGATCAAATAGCTCGACACGTTGCAATTTGTTCAACGCCGGCGTATTCCGCCGCCCATTGCATCATTATTGGTAACCCTTAAATAAAATGATGTCAGGTGAGATCTCACAATCTACTCCTTGAAGGACCCTATGTCGGCTTAATGTTTGGTGAGTGGTTCTAATATTACTTCTAGCCTGGTAAAATGGACAAAGTATGAAATAGAAGATAAAAGTGAGGCGTTATTTTGGAAGCAAACAGTGGTGGGTCTATATTGTGGCGTGGGAGTCCGGTTTGAGCTGGCTTTGGCATACATGGGTGCAAGCGCAGCAGCTGCCATTTAATAGCATACAGGATCTCCAACTCATTCACTGGCCCCATGCAAATGCATATCATGCATATCATGGTATCACAACATTTTACCTTTTTACCCTTTCTTCCCATTTTTACATTATAATGTGTATTATCTTACCTAAAATTCAATAAATTAAAATAATTAAGTCGCACTTACCTGGTTTAGAAATTTTAGGGTTTCCAATGAGGAGGTAGAAGTCCAAAGTCGAGCTTATAAGGCAAGTCGCGCGTGTGATGTACGCACCAATTAGAAGGCGTTTAAGTGGGAAGGCATCTTTTGATTTTCATGACACGACAGGGTACAAATAAACTATCCCCATTCGTCAAGTAAACGCGAGTGTAAGCTGCGCGTGGTGAGATTTTTTTATTTTTTTTTTGGAAAACAAAAGAAAAAAACTTGCTAGGGTTTCCATGGCATTTGACGCCCAAAGGCTGGTATGCCCTTGAGATAAGAAGCTGCCACGTGTCGAGCCATAATTAACTCCACGAGCTCCCACGCTTTTTTTATTACCACCACTCTCTCTAAATAAATAGGTCGCGGATGTTATGTACATGTGGAATGTGGATGGCATGGCCATGGATGATTTTTAATACCAAAAAAAAAAAAAAAGGAAAAAATATCACTCCACTACCTATAGATCTCTCTCTCTCTCTCTCTCTCTCTCAACTATCGAAATTTCCCTTTCTCTCTCTAGGGTTTTCGGAACTTCGCACTCAAATTCTGCTCAATCATCTTCGAATCTCATCTTACAGCTTTGATCTGCGTCTTCCTATATAAATGCTCTCTCTACCGCTACAGTTTCGTCGACCGGCCGTGAAGAATCGCCGTCTAGTTAATCCGTCGTGGTTCCGATTGGTCAGTTGGCTGAGCTAAAGGTGCGTTGTCGACTCCATTTAATTTTCCTTCTTCTTCTGTGTGGATCTTCGATTTGGTTCCTTTTTATTATTTCAGCTTTTTTCAGCTCGTTTCTTCGTCATATTTTAGCTTATTTTTCTCTATTTACCTCCTAATATTTGGTCCTGGTTTTTTCTTCTCCGGCTGATTTTTGGAAAGTGATTTGGCTTAGTCGCCGGAATTTCATGTGCTACTTTCAGTTACTTGATGTGTCACTCTGTCAACTTTTGTCTGTCACGAATTTCTGAGCTCAATAAAAACCCTAAATATTTTTCATCGGACCAATTCGCATCCATCGCCCAATCCACTGCTGTTAGAATTCTCAGACGGTGAGTATTTTAGCTGGCTTGATAAAATCCATTTCGTTTTTTGTCGTCTAGTGTACCTCCGCTATGTTCAGGTAATTGATCTCGCTAAACCCTAGACTACGCTTTTCGTACTATAGTACTGAATATTGCTTTTCTTTGAATTATATATGGGCGGAGCTGATTATGTATGAATTTTATCGTTTGTAATAGGTGAAATAGGTTCATAAACCCTAATAGTAATTAGGGTTTATGGTTCATTTCCATTGAATTTCATGTACTAATAAGTTGCAGGTGATCATTATTTTATGTGTAATTTCAAGTGTCTTAGATAAATGTTTGCTTAACGGGTCGTTTCTCTGAAATTATGCATACTCCTTTGTTAGAAGTTATTATTTTATGTGAGCAATAAGTTCATATGATAACCATTTATATGTAACTTCAGTAAGGCCTGTATGTTCCTTCTTACTGACCTCTTATTGTCTGTAAAAACATTATATCTTTTATATATATATATATATATATATATATATATATATCTGCAACATTTGATGCTTATCGGTTTATGTTACTTCCACCATTTGATTACTAATTAGCTCTGCTGCTTGGCATATGTTCACAAATTGGTCTTTCTACAGCTATAAACCGTAGCTTACCAAAAGTCTTGTAATGGACGAGGAGCATCATCAGAAGAATGATTCTAGTATCATTTTGAGGACTTCAGTCCCATTCATTGAGATTGACTCTTTATTTATAGATCTTTCCAGTTGTATTGATAAACCCGATGCTGGAAACTCCGATTATTTCTCCATACGGTATATGACCTTTACATTACCAAGTTGAAAAGTTTTTTGTGTTCCTTTTTTAACAAGTTATATGGCTTTGTTTGAAAACTGTGACTGGGTTAACTAGTGCTTGGTTCGTGCATGTGTCATCGAGATATTCATGATTATGTCTCCTAGTGCAGTTATACCCACAAATGATTCATTTTCACTGCTTGGTTTTCATGCTAGCTAGCGTTATTGTCCATACAAAATTGTAAACGTTTCTACTTTCTTTCAACTGTTTTGTCAAAGTTGGAAGCTTCATTGAGAATGCATAGCAACTAAAATTCAAGTTCTCTTTACTTTTTGGTGGGTTTAGTGCCACTTATCACATAGCTTCTTTCTACATTGCTATCCAAGCGAGACAAATGTGCAAGATGAAATTAGCATTTGAGCTCACCTAGTTTAACATGTTCTTCCAACATGAATGTCAGACAGTAATTAATTCAGAACTAAGAGGTTAGGTTAAGAAAAGATCTTTCGATGAAGTGAATGTTCAATATCCTGTGAATCCAGTGTCTTTTGTATATTACGCGATGAATTAATTTCCTCAAAACATGTTCTCAACATCTGATGTACAACTCCTTTTCCTCGTCAATTGCCTTTTGTTCAGTGGATATGCATCTCAAATGCGTGAAAAAGATTGGAAAAAATGCTGGCCATTTGATTTAGATGGTGACTATGAGCCTACAGAGACAATGTCCTTTCTTCCACCTTTTTGTGTTCCGCAGTTCAGGTGGCAGCGATGTCAAAATTGCAGGAAGGAAACTCCTGCAGGTGGGCTAAAAAAGATTTTTTAGTTGACTCTTGCCATGCCATTTCTACCATTCAAAGTGTCC